GATTTGAATTAAGGTAAACCAGTCTATCGTTCATTCCTTTGGCCTGACCTGAAAGATCTTCAGAACATTTGATTGCTGGCAACACGAGCGCTGAATGTATGGTCTATGCAGCCCGTGCTTTCGTACGAAGCTACCCAAACCGACTTGGATTGTCTTCTCTATGACAGCGGTTCATAGAAAAGTCAGAATTATTTCTCACATTAGCTCGTGTGGATCGTCTCCATGTCGACCGCCGCTTCTACTCCTAGCATCTGCGATATGACGCATCTCGTAAGGCTACAAGATACAGACTGTCTCATTATTAGAAAATGGCTCTAGAAAGCTGGTTTGTCTGATGTTCTTGACGCACAGATACTTGAACAGTAAGGGCATATCTAGCTCTCTATTACTAGTGAAACATGCAATCTCTTGAAATGATGCATGTGCTGGTGGTATCCGTGTAACAAAGGATCTCGGATTCGTTTCAGAACATTGAAACGAATGAGTCACAGCTCTGAGCGCCCATTGTTTTAAGAGCACTTGCGTAAAGACGCTTCATTGGGTTGAATGTCGGCACATAACTGGAGCTTCGTTCTGCGACAACTGCAGAAAATTTGTTTTGATATACCCTGATCGGTGTGGGAGGTCGAGATGAAGGCTTATGAGAACCTCTGTAAACGAGCAACCCGCAGGACTTTCCGGGTTGAAAGAGTAAAACAGCTGAACGTACATTAGGACCTCTTGTATCATACCGACAAACGCGTCGAGCAGTTGTCACGAACAAAAAATGGTTCGTCTAGTATTTTCCCTACGATGGACTCTGCTTCGCTAGAGATTAGAAATGAATAAATCTAAGAGTTCTTTTAGTGGCTAGGGGATTAGGAAGTGCAGCGAGTCCAATACAGGACAAGAACGGGGCCATTCAATGAAATGTTCCGTATGTCACTCTGGGGAAGCAGATAAATCACTATCGATTAAAAACAACCTAAGCAATTGCACAATCGTGAGATCTGATTTAGACCGGAATATTCTTTATATACTCGCCAACACAGACTGTAGCCGCTAATAGATATGCTGATGACTCAACAAAACTAGTAACACATTTATTACTAGTTTTTTTTTTCTCTCTAATACACACTGATGTCCGATGTATTTGCCGATCCATAAGCATGTTTGCAGCGACAATTTAAAATAAGGCTCTTTACCGATGATCTGTTAACGACACAGAAATCATGCGATGATGTTCAATCTACCTTACTTCAAAGTTTCGAAGTTTTTACTCGTTCTTCTCATCCTCTAGCGTGTACTTGATTTCGATCGCGATTTTATTGTTAGCTGATTTAATGGCTTTCAGCCACAGCTAACATATTCTGCCAGTGCTACAGGAACTGCCCTGCACGAAAGCCATACCGCCATTATCTAAAAATCATCTCAGGAAGATCCCAACTTGCGGAGGTGCATCATTTCATGTTCATTTGCACACTCGACAGTTCCAGAATCATTCCGACTCGACAGGCGATCAAGACTGGTCAATATGTGTCACTGTTGTTTATATTAGAGTCATGAAACGGCCACGAAAGCTGTCGTTGAGCTGTCCTGAGCTGGCTCTCAATAACGAAGTCGAACCCGTATAGTAGTCCATTGCTCGTAATGATTTGCTTGTCAATATACATCTACCAAACATACACCGCTCCCTAAGAGCCGTTCGTATTATCTGTGAGATTCATAAAATCCTGTAGTAAGCGCAATAGCAAAGCGGATCTTTTTACATCGCCAAAAAGCCGCCCATCTTTCATACCCCCATTTGAATTCACCTCGCAAATCCTTCTGCCATCGCCGATAGTTTCCTGTGTATTGAATTGTAAAAGAATCAGCTATAGTCCAATTCCCCTTCAGTCATGAAAATGAGGGGCAAAAGACTGTGTGCATTGTCACAGTAAAGTTAGAAGCGCTTCTTAAACGAAGGCCGTCGCTCCTTTTTATTTATCGACAACTGAGCGAGGGTAACGCACTCTCTATGTAGTCCCTAATGACGCTGCAAAAGCGGGACAGAGACGACCTAAAAGAACGCGTATTTGCTGAAGCAATCGAGCCGGTCCTAATAGCGGCGACGTTAACTAAATGCACCGATAGGTCTAATAGCAATAACCGCTGTTATATAGGTCATCAGCACTATCGTTTCTACTTGGGTCAGCTTCGTTTATGGGGAAGGAACATAGATGCAAAAAGGTAGAACAATTGTGCCACGCTTTGGAAGGAACCCACTTACGGCAGCCTTTTTTAGGAGCAAGGGCTTTCGGAAGCTTTAGGGGCCACGGCGCCTTGATCCCCTCATTTCACGAAGATGCTTTGCTTGTCTTCGATTGAGAAATCTCAGCACGACGGCACCGGAACTAGAAGCAGCCAGTATAGCTGAAAGAAAGGGCGACCGAGATTTGGGTGCCGTATGCGTTGCCATGGTAACCGTAACTAACGAGCATGCTGCCGTGCTGTTTCCCAATTTAGTGTTGGCAAAAGTTACTACTAAATATCAATAATCAAGAAAATAAAGAATGAGCAAAAAATAGAAAATTAAGCAAAATATCGTACTATTACTAAGGTAAATAGCTGCTTGTGTGGCTGCCATAGGTCTGTTGGAAAAGCCCCAAATGTATACAGAAAGACCCATTTCGGTTGGACTCCTAATGAGGGCAAGTCCTTGATGATTCCGGGGGATTGTTCGCACGGAATAAATAACCGAATGTGTTAATTTTTAAAAAAAAAAGTCTAGTTGTTGACAAAAGCGTATATCTAAATATCTCTTATTGCTGTACTTAATTAACATAGTGGTTTAAAGGTGTAAATGACAGGTACATAATAAAATAAGCTTTAAAAAAAGTATTTCCCCCAAAGTCGTGTTCTTTTCATATCAAAATCGTTTATTAATACCCGCCACATAATTTTGTTATTATTTACCTATTATTTAGATAATTTACCACATTAGGCAAATACAGGCTGAGCAAAATTTTCACGTATTTAGGATCTATAAGTATCTATGTATCTTTTCGATAATATTTTTTGGGCGACGCCACATATAATTTTGTATTCCTCTGTTGTGCCAATTTCCGGATGTTCCAGAGATGGCATGAACATGGTCGGTACATTGACCAATACTTAGTTAAAAATCAACATGCGGTTGACCGATGTAATGCTATTGGAAATGAGTAAACATCAAACCTTCTGCTTTCGAACAAAAAGCGATGAATATTATTCAAGCCAAAGGCTTCGCCCTCTCTAACGCATTCGAGATGCATCTAAAACACATAGGCCAGCGTAGGCCAAGTTAAACCTTGTAACAACGGTTGGAGAAAAGGGCAGGAAGTGCCAAGTTTATCATTGGACATTTGAATCGCTTTATTTCTACACAAATGTACATCGGAGTCGAGGTTTGGTGGCACGCAATCATTGTCGTTTTCTAAAGTACTGAACTGTCTCGTTCGATTAGTTAAACTAGATGTAAATCTCATTACTGTTTTTTACTTCCTTATTGGTAAATATCTTGACAAACTCCATTACGTAGTACATTCGATGCCGAGTTGGCAGATCCACCGGATCCTCGAGAAGGAAAGAAAACAAAGGAGGTTCTAGGCGAATCGTGAAGCGAGGTCGCTCATTGGTGAATAAAGGGCACGCCATAGCTGCAAGCGTTAAGAGAACCCTTTTGGATCGTTTAATAAAAAATTAAATTAGAAAAAAAAACCAACCACTCGTTACTAAGTGCAACCATCGTGTTGCATCTTTTTTCGTATGTCAGTAAATTACCACACATACTGCGCCTACTCATGTTTAAGTGAGGCACTCTTCTAGTTTTATTAGTGCTACTTACATAACGTACCATTACGGTTTTCTCGCATGTCAGGAGTTCGTAGCTATCATAACGTTGCACAGCGTAATTATTACGACTGGTTTTTGCAGGTTCCCTAATATAGATTCGTCCGCTATTGGAAAACGTGTATCCGAACCTGTACATCTTTCATACATTAGCACAAAGGGCAAGAAATTGGTAAATTGAAAGGCTATACAAAATAAGTCCTATCTCAATCTATTATTCAATTTAACTTAATCGTTATTCGTTTTGGTTGATTCGAATCGATTCAGCAAGAGTTGTCTGTTAAGGGCCTACGCCTACTATAATCGTCCGGTACAATTAGGACCTGTTCAGCGAAACATGCCTATGTCTATTAGGTACGTGGAACGATAAAATAATTAATCATACATGAATATATGAACATCTTGCGAGTGTGCTTCTACCAGCGCGAATATTATTAATGGACAGTGGTTAACCAGGCTGATTAAAAAGGGATCCGGTCGATGGAATCTCTTGATTCCCAGGCAACGTAGCCAAGAAAGGAGAAGGAACGACGGTTCCTTAATCCACTCGAAGGGTGGTTGGACGATTGCTACCGACTAAGTTTGTTATCAAGGTAGCATTTACTTGCTTTGTCGACAATTCCCTAGCAGAGGAAGCTTCTTCGGCTTCCAACAGCATAGAAGACCGCTTGGATTAGTCGTTCGGCGTTGCGGAACATACACTCAACTTGGGTTCAGGCCGAGGATCTCTTTTGCCCAAATTCATTAACGCGTTGTCCACTCTATAGCTTGCTATATCTTGTTCTTCCGTGAGCGGTTGCCCTTACGCGACATCAGCGGATATGTGTTCACTAGAATCTACGCATGCTGCTTAGCGATACGGCAGCGATTAAGCTCGTTCCATTTTTATGACCGCCGGCGTTGGCCGTCCTGTCGTTTCATTAATAAGCGTATTCAGAGCTAACAATAGTATTTACGCGAGAAAAATCAATCCATGGTATCATACATAGCGCAGTAGTAGAAAATAGGTGAAAGTTAGGAGTTTGTGATAATTATCTTAGATCTAACTTACATCATCGTCGCGCAACTAGTGGATAAAAACATCACCACTATAATAATGGTCGTCACCATGACGGATACGCTTAATAATCATTTTTTCCGTTATCTTTCTCTGTCCAATTGCAGCCGATTGCAGTTTTCTGCTCGCCAACGCTCAAATCGTCGATTATCCAATCGTCTATTGCTCCGAGTCGTTCTGCAAAATTTCGGGCTACAATCGCGCAGAGGTAATGCAGAAGTCATGTCGCTGCGCGTTCATGTATGGAGAGCTAACCGACCGTCAGACCATCCAAAAGGTCGATCAATGTCTCGAAAACCATCAATCCGAACAGGTAAGAAGCAGGGGATACCAACACAGCATATACTGAAAATGTACATTTCTTACGGCACCAATATTGGGCCGAATCAGAATGGAGCAGAAAAAAAGACAGCAGCAGCTTCTGACATTGAAATTATCCGAGATTCAAAAGTCCAAGGCACAAACGAAAAAATCGAAGCTTCCTTAAAGAAACTAATTGTTTTGTCATTGTGTAAAATATTCGAAATACAAGTTTGCCAACAACAAAGTACGCATATACAATACGTAAACAAGGGCGGGTAGATGTAACCAGTTGTTTAATGAAACACAAGCTGGTATTTGTTAACGTGAAAAAACAGCACAGTTCTGAGTATTTAGGAAAATCTACGTAATGCCCAGAATACCCCTTTAGCCTACCACCCTTCTACTTTAGCGCTGTCGTAGCAGTGCGAAGCAGACGAACGTAAACGAGACGTCTGGTAGTGCAATTGTTTGCTTGACGAATTGTCAGGTGCTTTGAACGTTATTAAAGAGTTTATGAAATTTGGTATTGACGCCCGTAATGGCCTTTTAGGAAGAAACAGCGTTACTTCATCCACGCATATCTCGCCCGTTGTTGTATTCCAAGTTTGTGTATGATTTTGAAATAATCGTCAACTATCCAGGTGACTTCATCACACAGAATTTTCGCTTTCCACCAAATCGCCTCATTTGCAAACGGGGAAAACTAGAAATTCACTCTGTTTATTATTAACTGGGCAAATTGAGTTGCCCTAGATGAAGAATAAAGACGTTTCATCACAACTGAAGTCGGTCAGTATATGGAACCAAAGCCTAAATTTCTAATAGAGTTAAAATTGGTAACACGAAACTTTGCTTATAGGCATCTGAATAAGTTGTTTAAAGTTTAAAAATTTAATGAACAGCTTTACTTAATGAATGCAGCTACGTGATAAACGGAGTTGCCAAACACCATTACCATTTACTGGCATACCTTCAACGTTATAGCCGCGAAGTCCTGCTAAGCCTGAATTACATTGGGTCGCTTTTTACGCGCGCCGAGCCACGAACAACCTCGCACTTAGCCCTGTTTAGAATACTGATGTTAATAAAGAACTGCATTCGCAGTCCTGCCCAGGCAAGGATTAGGGCAGCTGGTAGGCCACCTGCAAGGCAGACAGACTAATCATGTTCTTTCGCATCGTGATAATAGCGCGACCTCCACATCCTGCCATATTCTAAATAACCTCCTCTGTGTCCTACGAATGCATTTCATGTCATAAATCCCGCGGAACAAACGTGCCTACTTAATGCGGAATCATGCGTAAGATTACGTATCTTTGGCTGTGTAGGACGAGACAACTATACGACCTTATTATTTTTTATAAATTAGCATTAGTTCCTGATTTGGCTTTTGTAGCGGTTTCATTATTTCCCGACTATGTCAGCTTTGTAATTCTTTGCAGACGGGTAGATTTTGTCGGGCAAAACAATTCTTGTTGCATCTATGCCTGCAGTCGCTCCTACTGGTAGGACCATAACAATTGCGCAATGATTTCATTACTGTTGACCTCTATCGATTTTTTTTGTGGATTGCCTTTAGTCGACAAGACCTGGAATGTTACTCGCCAGATCGGGTAGCTACTCAGCTGTCGACAATATTCTAAATTAATTGTGATAAATGTAATAATTATTAATTTTGTACGCGCTTCTTATACGACTCTTGTACGCGAGAGGTAAAACTGGGGGAACTACGACATGGGGGTAAGATAGGTTTACTTTTCACGGACGGGACCCTAGCACGTTATTCACACTTTGGGTAAAAGACCGAGAAGTGCCTTAGTCCCGAAGTGCCGCTTGGGACTAACCTGGGAATCATCTACATCACCACTGCAACGTAGGCATTCGACAACGTTGTAGTGGTGCTTGCAGCGCCGAACCGCTACACAAGTTTTTGACACCGTCGCAGCTGTTATCAATGATAATGATATCGGTAGTTTCATTGTCGAAGACGCTACCCAGAATCCCGTTGCCACGACTCGCTAGGACTGTCGTAAAAGCTGAAACCGATACGAGGTTGTTATTGATGACGAACCTTCGACAGTAGAAAAAGTGACCTGGCGACTCACGAATGATGAAAGGACAAGAGTAATATTACCCATCATTGCCAAAAAAGTCTCGGGAGTCACCACTTGTGTACAAAATGCAGTCCATGTGCAGGAATAGTAGGCTTATTGTAGTGCATGCTATTTTAAAGTTTTCCTTCATTTCTTCGTGTGTTAGAGGCTTCTCAATTACACTTTCGGACAATTTGCGCACCTTCTCCAACTCAGTCAACAAGTCGTCTCTTTGCCGGGCTACTATTATTTGCGTCAAAGTCTAGCAACAATTTGCATTATAGGAACTAATTTTTGATGCTATTGCTTCGTAATTCCCTCAGCTTCCAACTCTATTTACGTAAACATTACACCTTTGTGTTTGTAGTATATGAGGGAAGGCAGAAGTTTTGATCTTGAGCTAACCCTCAGCTACCCGTCTATGCGGAGAAAAGGCTTCACAATTATCTATCGACATCACGTTAAGGACCTCCAGGAAACGTCTTGCAAAATTTATCTGGAGCCTCTCGAACAATGAAGATCTACGAGGAAGTAAGATAACCAAATCAGCAGCTCCTGTTAGTTGTTCTTAGTTTTCTATTTCATTTCTGATACATCCTCTGCTATCAACCCGCGAAATGCTCAAATCTAAATTAGTTATAATTAATATGCTTTTTTATCATGACAACTATGGCAGGGTACTCAGGGATACGTATTAGGTGGTCAGGGTACCACTCTTTTGAGAAATATATACTCATGAGATAACATCGGTATTTGCGAATTACCTGTATAAATTCTAGGAATAGCACACCTAAAATATCTGGAGAACTGTTACACGAGCTGCTTTTATCGTTAATCTTTGCTTCAAGCCTTGCTTGTTGCTTCTACAGTTTTGATAAAGATGGCGAGTCCGCCTGGGCAGCCATTGCCTCTAACTGGACGTGAGGAAAATTCGTAAAGGGCAACTGTAACCCCTTCACTTCTCGCCGTTCAACCCAAGCGAAGGCACTAGAAAATTTGTACACAAGCGAAAAGGTTTTTTGGCTTCGGTTTCTCAAAAGCCTTCGAAGTCACGCCGCTCAAATAATAAAGAACACGAAAAACCAACGGCAAGCGGCGAAGTTGCAGCTGCTACGAAATTCATTAGAAAAATCATACAATGCATTGTTAATTAGATAACTTTTGTTGGAATAATGGCGTAACTATAAGTTGTGTTAACTGCAAGTACCTGCATATGTGCGTATATGTATTATGCAGAAGGGACAACGATTTCAATAAGGCAGAGCATGAACATATGAATTATATTCGTTTATAATAGATGCAAAATATATGCACTGTATTTTTAGCTAATTCTGCCACCGTGGCAAACCTATGACGAAATATCCCCCTTGAGTTCTGGCTTGACGACTATAACTAACAATTGTTGCACGAGCATTGGCAGCTAATGAAGCTGATCAATCGCATGAATACTTACTTGTATTGGGCACCCATTTCATTCTTTGCCACGCCACCTCACATCCTAATAATAACAACAGTAACTACCAAATAGCACCTTTCGTACTGAAATTTCGAATGCTGTTCTATTCAACATGATACACACAGGACAAATGGGAAATCATTAAAACATACAGGTTCCATAGATTTTTGCCTTCTCTCGGCGGCCATCCTTGAGTAGTTGTTTTTCTTCTGGGCCGCAGTACCTACTCGATACGAGTAGGCTTGGCTGTAGATGCTGTCGACCATTCTGGACTGCCCTGGGTCCCAGAACGGTCTACAGCAATGAAAAAAAATCTCCATAAAACAGAGAACACCGGAAACTGTTGAACCTCAAGTGCCAAAATTTCCAGTTCACGTCGTAGCACGACAGCGCTTCACGTAGCGCAATGCACAATGACACACGTTTAATGTTCGTATCGGAAAATATGTGCTTAAAAAACCTATCTGCCAACAAATGGACAGCTTTCACAGCAATATCGGGTTGACGGTGATAGTCAGCAAAAAACATTTGTCAGTGTACTTGTGTCTGTTGTTACCAACTGTATTAATTGGACTGCTTTATTCTTCAATTACGTTACAGAAGCTGTCCTATCTTAATGGGAACTTTTATCGGAACACTTTAACTCTGTTGTTAAGTTGAATTATGTATAACATAAATACGTCCACGGATAAATTTGCATTACACGATAGTCTAACTTTAAAATCAACTGTGCCTTTAATTGATTCAATCGTTCAGCATTCATTATGTAGGGGGTCATATCGCTATTTCCGTCATTGTATCAACGTATCTGATGATCTACCGTTTGCATAAGAGTTATATACTTTAATGAAATCCGTCAGTATATGTTTACAACACAGCGTTACACAGCATTTTAATCACTAAGAGATTCTGCGTATTATTTAAATGCACTCTGCTTGATGGTGCCCGAACCCCCACAGGTGCCCCCCTCTCCATCTGGGAGGTTGGCAAAGCCGCTAACGGGAAGGTCATTCATTTAAGCTTCGATATAATGCATTAAAGAAGCCCGCCGTTATTAGTCTGCATGCATTAAATAGTGGTCTTTTAGAAATACGCGTTGGAAGACCACTTCCAACTCATGCAAGCTCCCAGCGGAGCTTTTGCCCCCCCCCCCCCCCCCCCCTAGGTAGTAATGACTATACAACGCTTCAGTGAACTTCTACGCTGAAATAGATCGTTGAAGTAATGGACAGGGGAAACAGATGAGGGCGGGTTTACGTAATTTTTGTAATTCGGCAAACTTGTGCGATACTATTAAGGTGGCCTGTAAGTGATCTTTAGCAAGGATCTTCGGCGGTAAGTGTCCGCGTAAGGCATAGCGCCACAAGTCCTAGGGTCCACGTACCCGCATTATTGATCCTTTTAAATTCTGGCAGCTAAAGCAGAAAAAAGAACGGAAACGACTGTTCGCATTGACACGTA